TTGCTGTAGCCTCACTCTTCGGTGTTATTCGTGTCCTCATAACCACATAAACATATACAACAAAGACAAATACATGAGCAACAGCAACAGCAGCAGCAGCAGCAGCAGCAGCAGCAAACTACAGTGCGGGTACAACTGGAGGGGCCCCCCAAGTGCTGCTGGGGGCCCCCCTAGTAGGGAGGGCAGCAGCAAGAAGCAGATAATAGTAAAGAAGCAGCAGCAAATTAAATTGTGTTTGTTTATTTTGTCTGCATAACACACCTTTAAAAACTGCTGCAGCAGCGGCAAACTAAGGGAGGAAGGGTGCTGCTGGCTTCTGCTGAGTGCTGCAGCAGCTGCTGCAGCTGCTGCTGCTGCTGCTGCTGCTGCTGCTGCGGCTTCTACTGGGGAGACACCCGGCTCTCCCCACACATCAGCATATTTGTAGCTATATAAAACCGTCTGGCTGATTGCCTTTGAAGGACTTGCTGCAGCAAACAGCAGCAACACCGGTTGCTGCTGCTGTTGCTGCTGCTGTTGTGTTGCCGCTGCAGCAACTTGCTGCAGCAGCAGCAGCAGAAAGCAAACATCTCAACGCTCCCCGCTAACAGCAGAGGGGACATATTCGCCTCGCTGGCTGGGGGCCCTGCGCAGGAGCAGCAGCCGCAGCAGCAGCAGTAACCGCAGCAGCACAAGCTTGGTGCTGCTGCTGCTGCTGCTGCTTCGGATGTAGAGTACAGCAGCAGCAGCAGCAACTCGAGGGGATGGGGGACAGCGTCGGGGAGCTGCTGCAGGCTGCTGGAAACGGCGAAAAGGAGCAGCAGCAGCAACAGCAGCAGCAGCAACTTCAGCAGCAGCAGCAGCAGCGGCAGGAGACAGAGCAACTGCAGCAGCAGGTGGAACAGCTGCTGCAGCAAATAAAGAAAGACCCATGGAAGGCCTCCTATTATGAGGCTGCTCTGAGAGCACTGTCCGCACTCGGCAACACAGCAAAGGTAAACCTTCTTCGCTCGTGCTGCTGCTGCTGCTGCTGCTGCTTCTGCATGCTGCTCCTGGTGCTGCGCCATGCTGTTGCTGCTGAAAGCTACTGCTGGGTGGTGTTGCAGGTGGATTCTGCTTGTGTTGAATGCTGCTGCATCATGCTGCTTCTGTTGCTGCTGCTACATGCTGCTGCTGGATGGTTTCTGCTGCTGCTGCATGCTGCTACTGGGTGTTTGCTGCTGCTGCTGCTGCTGCATGCTACTAGTGCTGCACATTTGTACCGTTGTTTGTTCTGCTCTTAGAGATCGCCTTCATTGCTTCCCGTGTGTCTTGCTGCTCCCTGTGCTGTTGCATTTTGCTGCTCTTCCTGCTGCTGCTGCTGCTGCTGTGTTGTGGGGTGTATAGACACGGGAGGTGCAGCGGGCCTATGCAGAGCACTGCCCTATAGACGAGGAGTTGCTGCTGCAGTGGTATGAAGCTGAGCGTAGACAGAGCAGCAGCAGCAGCAGCAGCAACAGTAACAGTAACAGCAACAGCAGCAACAGCAGCAACAGCTGCAGCAGCAGCCACGGCACCACCCCTTCACCCCCCTGCTGCCCCACCCCCACCACCTCCACCACCTCCAGCAGCAGCAGCAGCAGCAGCAGCACGGATGAAGCAAGAGCGTTGCTGGAGCTAGGGCTGCGGCTGCAGCCTTCTGTGTCTCTGTGGCTGCTGTATGCTCGGCATTTAGAGGTGTCTCTCTGTTATCAAGGTGTCTCCTTAGCAGAGACAGAGCAGAGACTACGGTCTGCTTATGAAGAAGCTTTACAGATATTTAAACTACATTCATTAGAGGGTCCTTGTCTATGGGCAGCATACAGAAGATATGAAGCTCAGCTGCTGCGACACTGCAGCAGCAGCAGCAGCAGCAGCAGAATGCTGCAGCACCAGCAAAAGCAGCAGCAGCAAATGCAGCTCGCACGCATTCGCACGCTCTTCTATAGACAACTTCAGCTGCCCTTAGGGGGGTTAGGAGACCTCCTAGATGAATATAGGTATATACACTGTCTCCTTTGCTGTCTCTGCTTCTCTCTCTCTATATATATATACATATATATATATACATATATATGTCTGTCTATCTATCTATCTATCTGTTTATCTATCTATATGTTTATTTATTTATCTATCTGTTTATCTATCTATCTATCTATATATCTATCTATTTATCTATCTGTGTGTCTCCTTCCTCCTTCTCTCTGTCTCTTTCTCTCT